GCACTTTTACCTTGGGGATAACCAGCAGCTGTCTAATTGAAATTAAGGCCTGCTCAATGAGAGGTAACTAATGTGTGGTACTGTAAACATAGTCAAATACACATAGGTAGAGAAGTTATAGATTCCAGAGTAAAACCTACTTTTGCCAGATCCTTAGACAAATATAACTAAATAGGCATTCCCATATTTACAGACAAGTATACCTTTCACCCTCATCAAAGAAGCTTTTTTTTTTTTTTGCAACAGATGGAGACTAGTGCAGAATTCCAGAACTGGCCAAACATAGAGACCGAGATCTGTGAGATGCTTAGCCCTACATGATGCATCTTAATGCAGTTTCTACACATAGGATGACTCCACCTCCCAACTCTCCACAGGGAAGCTTCCTTAGGCAGCAGATGGTGATTAACACAGAGACAGACAACTGGCCAATGTGCAAAGAACAAGAGGCTGCAGAGTGCTTATCCCTGAATAGGATACCTGTTTCAAACCTCTGTTTTTGCTGAAATTATGCTTTTAAAATGTGTATTTTAGAGGCCAGAGAGATGGTTCAGATATGTAAAGCATTTGCTATGCAAACATGAGGACTAGAGTTCCGATCCCCAGAAACCATGTAAAAGCTGGTTGGACACGACAGCCACCTGTAATCCCAGTGAGATCCCAGGGCCAGCCAGCCAGCCAGCCGGACTAGATGAATTCACAAGGTCTGTGTTTAGCAAGAGACCATGCCTTAACATACAAGGTGGAGAGGGACAGAGGAAGGTAGCCAGGGTCAACCCCAGGCCACCACACATGGATGCACACATCAGCACCTTGCACCTCACACATGTGAATGCAAGAACACATGCACAAATACCATGCACACAGACATGAGAACATTTTTAGTTTTCCTGAAATTTTTTGAATTTGGACCTATAGTAAGAAATTGTAGAGGAACAGACCTAAGGAGTAGACAGAGGAAGGTAGCCAGGGTCAACCCCAGGCCACCACACATGGATGCACACATCAGCACCTTGCACCTCACACATGTGAATGCAAGAACACATGCACAAATACCATGCACACAGACATGAGAACATTTTTAGTTTTCCTGAAATTTTTTGAATTTGGACCTATAGTAAGAAATTGTAGAGGAACAGACCTAAGGAGTAATAGAGGGACGCAAATGTAAAAAAAAGAAAGAGAAAGAAGAAAGAAAGAAAGAAAGAAAGAAAGAAAGAAAGAAAGAAAGAAAGAAAGAAAGAAAGAGAAGGGAAGAGGGAGGGAGCAAGGTGAGGAGGATGAGGAAAAAACCTAGAGGGATCTAGAGGAAGAAGAGGAAACCCACCAGGAAATCAGGTCTTTGTGAAATGACTAGGCAAGCACAAGAGGAAATACACATAGAGCGTGTGTAGGATGCGAGGCAAAGGATCTACAGAAGACGTGTATTTCCTGGATATTTCCTGTGAGCCCCACAGGGCTTGAAAACATACGGTGGATGCAAAGAACAATGTCAAGACCTCACAGGACAAAGGACGGCACGGAGGAGACACAGAAGAGGAGATGTTTGTCAGGGTGTGACCAGTGGAAATAGATCTTGGTTTCAAACTAAATGTTAATTTAAGGCAATAAATGAAATGAATTTAATTTCTGAAGGGCAATGAACCTGTTCAGGGTGGGTTTCAGAGTTAAATTTCACGAAATTTAAAGTGAAGATAATCAATGAAGACCACAGCGAGCCCTGTCAAACACGATATGCGTATGGGACAAGTCCAGGGGTCCACACCTTGAAGTAGTGTTTTTTCGAGTTGGAAAAAAGAAAAAGAGGGAGAGGGATGGGGATGGGGACGGGGAGGGAGAGGGAGAGGGAGAAAATGAAAGTTAAATGAAAAAGCCAATTAGAGGTTTCCAATTAGATGGCACGATGGAAGTGCTTAGTGGTTGCGGCTTTGTGTCTTGGAGAAATTTAAAGAAAAGTAAAAAGTGCCATGTAGCCCGGGCTGGCCTCGAACTCCAGATCCTCGTGCCTCTGCCTCTTCAGCATAATCCTACCGGTGTGCGCCACCACGGCCGGCGAACGACGGCGCGGAGGGAGACCTACTTGAGGGATGGGCTGCTGATGCACATCCTGCTTCCCCCTCCCTGATTCCATACCCTAAAGCCCCCGTATGTAAAGTCCCAGCTCACAACCCGTGAGCGGACATTTTTCCTGGACATCCTTCCCTGACATCCTTCCCTTCTTCCCTTCCCTTCCCTTCCCTTCCCTTCCCTTCTCTTCCCTTCCATCTTTCTCTCCGCCGACATCTTTCCCTTCCCGAGGGAAAGGTGCCCCGTGCGAAATAAATCTATGTCCCACTGAGAATTCCATCTGAGCCTCCGTGCCTCATCCATCTGCTCGTGCCTCCTCCATCTGTGTTGCTCGCTCCCGCCCATTCTTTACCTATCAGATGGTGCTTATCAGCTAAGTTCCCTTTTTCAGGCTCCAAAGTCTGTAGGTCCCTGTTGGGGAGAGGGGGGCTGCTATTGGAACCCTAACACTGGCTAGCTTGGAACGTGCCACAGACACTAGGGTGACTTGAACTTGCCCTTCTCCTGCCTCTGTGCCCCAAGTGCTGAGATTATTGGTGTGCATCACATTATGTTTTTAATGTGAGCCCAAGACATTTCTATCCAGATCACCTAACCATCTATACCTTTTGTTTTCTAGTTCTCTTGGAGATATTAAAATAGCTGAGGTGAATATCAAGGGATTATTTGTGAGACTTGTTAACTCGTCCACTGACAAAGAAATGGAGATCGGAGATCACATTCTCCTGCAGAATGTGGGTGGACATCCAATTTCCTCCTACCGTTTCCTCCCCAACATCACAATGCAGGCCAATTCCATGGTGACGATGAGTATGATCTAGAAACACCATGAGCTGAGAAGAGGGTGACGTGGGAATATTTTGAGCTGGAATACCAGGAAGGAGCTGTGAATACCAGGAGATGGGAATAGCGTGAGCTGGGAATACCGTGAACTAGGAATATCATGAGCCAAGAGTACCATGAGTTGGGAATACCTTGGGCTGTGAGCATCATGGGCTGACAATAAGGTAAGTAGGGAATACCAGGAGCTGTGAATACCTTGAGCTATGACCACATTGAGCTGTAAAATACCTTGAGCTGTGAATACTTGAGCTCTGAATACCTTGAGCTGGGAACACCTTGGCCTGGGAATGCCTTGGCTGTGAATGCTTTAGGCTGTGAATGCCTTAGGGCTGGGAATGCCTTGAGCTGGGAATATCTTGAGTTGGGAAAACCAGGATATGGAAATACCATGAGCTGGAAATATCATGAACTAGGAATATCATGAGCCAGGAGTACCGTGAGTTGGGAATACCTTGGGCTGCAAGCATCATGGGCTGACAATAAGGTAAGTTGAGAATTCCAGGAGCTGTAAATACCTAGAGCTGTGAATACTTGACCTGTGAATGCCTTGAGCTGTGAATGCTTTGAGCTGTGAACACCTTGAGCCGGTAATACATTGAGCTGGGAATGCCTCCAGCTGTGAATACCTTGAGTGTGAACACCTTGAGATGGGAAGACCAGGAACTGAGAAAACCTTGAGCTGTAAATACCTTGAGTTTGGAATACCAGGAACTGTGAATGCCTTGAGCTGTGAATACCTTGAGCTGTGAATACTTTGACCTGTGAATACCTTGAGTTGTGAATATTTGAGCTGGGAATGCCTTGAGCTGTGAATACTGGAGCTGTGAATACCTTCAGCTGTGAACACCTTGAGCTTACCTTGAGTTTGGAATACCAGGAACTGTGAATGCCTTGAGCTGTGAATACCTTGAGTTGTGAATATTTGAGCTGGGAATGCCTTGAGCTGTGAATAATGGAGCTGTGAATACCTTCAGCTGTAGACACCTTGAGATGGGAATACCAGGAGCTGTGAATACCTTGAGCTGTGAACACCTTGAGCTGGGAATACATTGAGCTGCGAATGCCTTGAGCTGTAAATACCTTGAGCTGGAATGTCTTGAATTCTGAATACCAGGAAGTGGGAATGCCTTGAGCTGTGAATTCTTGAGCTGGGAATGCCCTGAGCTATGAATGCTTGAACTGGGAATGGGAATGCCTTGAGCTATGAACACCTTAAAATGGGAATACCAGGAGCTGAGAATACCTTGAGCTGTAACTGCCTTGAGCTGGAATGTCATGAATTGTGAATACCAGGAACAGGGAATGCCTTGAGCTATGAATACTGGAGCTGTGAATAATTGAGCTGGGAATGCCCTGATCTGTGAACGTCTTGAGATGGGAATACCAGGATATGGAAATGCCGTAAGCCAGAAATACCTTGAACTAGGAATATCATGAGCCAGGAGTAAGATGAGTTGGGAATACCTTGTGGTGTGAGCATTATGGACTGACAACAAGGTAAGTTAGGAATATGAGGAACTGTAAATACCTTGAGCTGTGAACACCTTGAGCTGTGAACACCTTGAGCTGTGAATGCCTTGAGCTGTAAATACCTTGAGTCAGGAATACAGGATATGGAAAAACCATGAGCTGGCAATACTGTGAACTAGCAATATCATGATCCAGGAGTACCATGAGTTGGGAATACCTTGGGCTGCAAGCATCATGGGCTGACAATAAGGTAAGTTGGGAATACCAGGAACTGTAAGTACTTGAGCTGTGAATACCTTCAGCTGTGAATACTTGAGCTGGAATGCCTTGAGCTATGAATACTGGAGCTGTGAATGCCTTGAGCTGTCAATACTTTGAGCTGTAAAAGACCTTGAGCTGGAATGCCTTGAGATGGGAATACCAGGAGCTGAGAATACCTTGAGCTGTGAATGCCTTGAGCTGTGAATATTTGAGCTGTCAGTGCTTTGAGCTGTGAACACCTTGAGCTGTAAATACCGTGAGCTGGAATGCCTTGAGATGGGAATACCAGGAGCTGAGAATACCTTGAGCTGTGAATGCCTTGAGCTGTGAATATTTGAGCTGTCAGTGCTTTGAGCTGTGAACACCTTGAGCTGTAAATACCGTGAGCTGGAATGCCTTGAGATGGGAATACCAGGAGCTGAGAATACCTTGAGCTGTGAATGCCTTGAGCTGTGAATATTTGAGCTGTCAGTGCTTTGAGCTGTGAACACCTTGAGCTGTAAATACCGTGAGCTGGAATGCCTTGAGATGGGAATACCAGGAGCTGAGAATATCTTGAGTCAGGAATAGAGGATATGGAAAAACTATGAGCTGGCAATACCATGAACTAGCAATATCATGAGCCAGGAGTACCATGAGTTGGGAATACCTTGGGCTGCGAGCATCATGGGCTGACAATAAGGTAAGATGGGAATACCAGGAGGTGTAAATACCTTGAGCTATAAATACCCTATGCTGTGAATACCTTGAGTTGTGAATATTTGAGCTGGGAATGCCTTGAGCTGTGAATACTGGAGGTGTGAATACCTTCAGCTGTAGACACCTTGAGATGGGAATACCAGGAGCTGTGAATACCTTGAGTTGTAAATACCTTCAGTCAGGAATACAAGATATGGAAAAACCATGAGCTGGCAATACCATGAACTAGCCATATCTTGAGCCAGGAGTACCATGAGCTGGGAATACCTTGGGCTGAGAGGATCATGGGCTGACAATAAAGTAAGTTGGGAATACCAGGAACTGTAAATACTGGAGCTGTGAATACCTTCAGCTGTGAATACCTTGAGTTGTGAATATTTGAGCTGGGAATGCCTTGAGCTGTGAATACTGGAGGTGTGAATACCTTCAGCTGTAGACACCTTGAGATAGGAATACCAGGAGCTGTGAATACCTTGAGCTGTAAATACCTTCAGTCAGGAATACAAGATATGGTAAAACCATGAGCTGGCAATACCGTGAACTAGCCATATCATGAGCCAGGAGTACCATGAGCTGGGAATACCTTGGGCTGAGAGGATCATGGGCTGACAATAATGTAAGTTGGGAATACCAGGAACTGTAATACTTGAGCTGTGAATACCTTCAGCTGTAGACACCTTGAGATGGGAATACCAGGAGCTGTGAATACCTTGAGCTGTGAACACCTTGAGCCGTAAATACCTTGAGATGGAATTCCTTGAGATGGGAATACCAGGAGCTGAGAATACCTTGAGCTCTAAATACCTTGAGTCAGAAATACAGGATATGGAAAAACCACGAGCTGGCAATACCGTGAACTAGCAATATCATGAGCCAGGAGTACCATGAGTTGGGAATACCTTGGGCTGAGAGGATCATGGGCTGACAATAAGGTAAGTTGGGAATAACAGGAACTGTAAATACTTGAGCTGTAAATACCTTGAGCTGTAAATACTGGAGCTGTGAATACCTTCACCTGTGAACACGGTGAGATGGGAATGCCAGGAGCTGAGAATACCTTGAGCTCTGAATACCTTGAGTTTAGCATACCAGGATATGGATTACCATGATTTAGCAATACCGTGAAGTAGGAATTTCATGAGCCAAGAGTACCATAAGTTGGGAATACCTTGGGCTGTGAGCATTGTCAGGTGACAATAAGGTAAATTGGGAATACCAAGAACTGTAGATACCTTGAGCTGTGAAAACCTTGAGATGGGAATACCAGGAACTGTAAATGCCTTGAGCTGTGAATGCCTTGAGCTGTGAATACTTGAGCTGTGAACACCTTGAGCTGGAATGCCTTGAGATGGGAATACCAGGAGCTGAGAATACCTTGAGCTGGCAATATTATGAGCCAGGAGTACCATGAGTTGGGAATACCTTGGGCTGCAAGCATCATGGGCTGACAATAAGGTAAGTTGGGAATACGAGGAACTGTAAATATTTGAGCTGTAAATACCTTGAGCTGTGAATACCTTCAGCTGTGAATACTTGAGCTGGAATGCCTTGATCTATGAATACTGGAGCTGTGAATACCTTCACCTGTGAACACCTTGAGACGGGAATGCCAGGAGCTGAGAATATCTTGAGCTGTGAACACCTTGAGTTTAGAATACCAGGATATGAATTACCATGATCTAGGAATACTGTGAAGTAGGAATTTCATGAGCCAGGAGTACCATGAGTTGGGAATACCTTGGGCTGCGAGCATCATGGGCTGACAATAAGGTATGTTGGGAATACCAGGAACTGTAAATACCTTGAGGTGTAAATAACTTGAGCTGTGAACACCTTGAGCTGAGAATACTTTGAGCTATAAATACCTTGAGTTGGGAATACCAGGAACTGTAAATGCATTGAGCTGTGAATGCCTTGAGCTGCCAATACTTTGAGCTGTAAAATACCTTCAGCTGGAATACCTTGAGATGGGAATACCAGGAGCTGAGAATACCTTGAACTGTAAATACCTTGAGTCAGGAATACAGGGTATGGGGAGCTGAGAATACCTTGAACTGTAAATACCTAGAGTCAGGAATACAGGGTATGGAAAACCATGAGCTGGCAATACCGTGAACTAGCAATATCATGAGCCAGGAGTACCATGAGTTGGGAATACCTTGGGCTGTGAGCATCATGGGCTGACAATAAGGTAAGTTGGGGATACCAGGAGCTGTGAATACCAGGACCTGGGAACACCAAAAATCTCAATATAACATCAGTATGAGTATTGTGAGCTGAGATTAAGGTGAGTTAGAACACAGTGGGCTGAGCTTGTGGTGAACTGAGAATCCCCAATGTGAGCTGGGATAACCAGAAGGTGGGAGTTCTATGAGCTGGGAATACTAGGAGCTGGTGACACCTTGAGCTGAGAATACGGTGAACTGTGAATATTATGAACTGGAATACCAGGAACCTTGAGTAGCTTGAGCTAGAAGCTTCAAGAGCTGAGAATAAGGTAAGCTGGGAATACTGTGAGTTGGAAATACCAGAAGCTG